TGCATACTTGCCTATTTATTATTTGCATAATGAATATGCAAATATGCAGATAAAATGTTACCCGGCCGCCAAATGGTTGGGAAGGGGTTTGCCAGTCCCCGGTAGACACAAGGTTGGGAACCCCTGGAGAACAGCCCCAAATTGTCAGGCTGTGCCGTCCGCAGTGCGCACGAATGTGCCCAAAGCCTTCGCGCAAGAACAGGCCTCAGACGGACGGACGGATGTTGTTCTGAATTAGACCTTTTCTGACACTGCCCTGCAGGGAGCGGGTGTTTCCAGTGAACTCGGCCCCGTCCCCCCCCGCTCTCAACCCCGTCATATGGTCTGTGCCCTTGGGATGTGTTTCCCCACGGGCCTTGCAGTGTCCGCGGGGCGTTTCGCCCGCCCTGCCGTGGCCCCGCCCCCCCGGTTCAAGGCGATCCCGCGGCAGGCAGCTTTGGTGGCGCTAGGGCCGGGTGCCGCCACGTCTCACCCCTCCCCCTTCCCCTGTTTCTCGCGCCTCCTCTCTGTGCCGCAGGCTGGAGTTTCCAGATGGGCTCCGCGTACCAGTTCCACAGCTGGAGGGTCTTCGTCTTGGTCTGCGCCTTCCCCTCCGTCTTTGCCATCGGCGCGCTCACCACCATGCCTGAGAGCCCCCGCTTCTTCCTGGAGGTACCGGCTGTGCGGCTCGGGGCGGGAGGGCACCAGGCAGGAGGGGGCCATGCGCGCCCAGGGCCCTGCGCTGGGCTGCAGCAGGCCCCACGGCATGAAGGGGGCACTGGTTGGCTCTGGAGTAGGGAGCCCAAACATGGCGCTGGCTCCCAACTCCGCGCCAGCCCCGTGGGGGCAGAAACGAGAGCTGGGCCTTGGGACTATCTGCGACGGGGCTTTGGGGGTCCCAGCCCTGGGCCTAGCCACGAACCCCACAGGGGGCGCCAGGACTGAATCGTCCCCTCCCCCACTCCGCCCCACTGCTGGCCCTGAATGGGGGAGGTCCAAAAGGCCAGGGCACAGCCTCGGGGGATGGAGAGACACCTCCCGCATCTGGGACCTATCCGTCCGGCAGCACCTGTCGCCAATTCTCAGCCCGCAGCCCGGAGCCCCCTGGTGGCAGGAGGTGCCCTGTGGCTCTGCCGTTTGCTGGAAGTGGGCCGTGGGTGACGCGTGGCGATGCCCCCGCCTGAATGGGGGAGGTCCAAAAGGCCAGGGCACAGCCTCGGGGGATGGAGAGACACCTCCCGCATCTGGGACCTATCCGTCCGGCAGCACCTGTCGCCAATTCTCAGCCCGCAGCCCGGAGCCCCCTGGTGGCAGGAGGTGCCCTGTGGCTCTGCCGTTTGCTGGAAGTGGGCCGTGGGTGACGCGTGGCGATGCCCCCGTGCACAGGCGGGGATGCCGGGGGTGGGAGGGGGAGGGGCACTCTGGCCATGATAATCCAGAGGGCGGCGACCCCTGGCTCAGGGCCTGGTCTAAGAGGTAGAGCAGTGGGCATAAGGCCAGGGGTGGCGGGTATAATAGGCAGGGGGGAGGCCTGGGCAGAAGGGGCTGGGCTTGGGGCGGGGTTGGGGGCTTGCTTCCCTCAGCCGTCCCTTCACCCACCACCCATGCATGGGCTGCAGGGTGCCGGGGTGGGTCTCTCGTTCTTGGCTGGGCGCCCCCCCAGCG